ATGTAATAAGTTGACATAGTACATCTTCACCAAAGAAAATAATCATGAATCTGATTCTTTCTTACAAACGTGTATACCTACTCCTCACTGTAAGAAATGGTTGTCTGAAGGACATTGAAGACATATACATGTATAGATAGTTGGTTGTGAATGATATAAAAAGTGAAGTCAGTAAATATTCATTATATTTTCTACCAGAAATCTGACATTTGCTGTAAATTGGACAATGTTATTATACATTATTATTGAAATGAAATGAAACATGTAAAATGAATGAGTTATATTTTGTAAGGTACAGCCACTTTGTGGGCAATGTATTTGTGACAGTGTTTTGTTATGTGTTTCCTGATGTGAGGGAAATATAAATGGTGATGTAGTGTTCTAAGGTGATTTAGATTTTGGAAGGATAAGTGAAATGGAATTTTTGATTGAGATGAATACATTAAATTGTTTGGTTTTGCATTTGATTTTGCTTTATGTATAGACTGCATAATAGGGTTTCAAATACATAAAAGGGAAATTATTCCATAAGCTAGAGTTAGAAATTCATTTTAAATATTTAATGACTTAATTAAGTTTTATTAGTGTGATGCTCTTTGCTTTGCCGATTAAAAATTGACAATGGCCTCATCTGGAATCCCCCCCCTTTTTGGGTAGTGTCTTCACAGGATTTGTTCTGTATCTTTATAAACAGTGATAAATACTCATTTCTCAAAATAAATGTTCTTTCTAAACTTCTGAAATTACCAAGAGAAAAATAGTAAACAATTGTGAAGCATTAAAATCAACAGACTTTGCTCACTGAATTGCTCTTTGATTCAAAAACTGATATTACATACTGTGTCCCTAGAGAACATTTGATTTGCTTCAGTCCATTTTTCTCTCTGTATTATTTGTTGTTGCCAGAGTGCAGAGACTGTTTTGTGCCCCAGCACACAGGCCAGGTGCAAATAGCACTTGCTGTTAGACTAGACTTCGGGCCACTGGATGGGGCATGGGGCATGTGATGGTCACGCAAACAGTGAAGAGTGAAGCACCTGAAGTACCCCACTATCAACAGTGGGGTCAGTGGCTTCACTGTGAGGTGTTTGTAGAGCGTGAAGGTACCCCAGATTTATGCCTCAGGAATATACTAGTACTCCAAGTATAGTGGTCTTGGAAATGCTGTAGAAAAGTAGAGAGACACGTCGGCCATGTGCATTTCTGTGACTCACAGACTCAGAGTTCACCTATATTATTTGACATGAGAACCTCTGTGCATATAACTCTGGATAACTTGATGGCTTGAGAAATTTCATTGACAAAATGGGGGCAGAGGAAGAGAGTATAGTTGGAATATTTATCCAAAAGGCAGAGCAGTTGGCGCAGGGTAGCAAAGAATATGATTCTCCAGACTTTACTGATAAACCTCATGGCCTTTGCCCATGTGGTGATGAAAAGTAAACATTATCTTCAAATGTGCTTCTGAAGGAAGAATAAAATATTTATTGTCTCTGGATTATAGATGTAGATAACTGTTAGTTATCCTCTTTCTTTTTAGAAAAACAAATGTAATTAACCAAAATTCACCTTTACTTTTGTCAAACTTTTCAAGATTCAGGAACACAGGCTATTGATAGGTAGGAAGGTATGCTGAAAACTATCTTGTATCCTGTTGAAAGTTGGAATGGTATTACTAAAGATTAGAACTGAGCATCCCATTATGGTAGTCATTAGCCAGACATGGTTATTAACACTCAAGTTTAATTAAAAATAAATAACAGTTCTGTTTCTTCAATGGCCACAAGAGTGTTATGTCTGCCATATTGGACAGTGTGGAAATGTTTGCATCATTATAGAACACTTTATTGTGTGCACCACTGGGTTAGAAAGTATGTGGTTATGGCACCTAAGAAACAGTATTTTTTATATAGGTCCTGTTAGTGTAATAAGCCATGCCATTTCAGTTATAAAGGATATTCTTTTTGGCTTTTTAAGATTTTATTTTAATTGCAGTTAGCTAACATACAGTATTCTATCAGTTTCAGGTATATGGCATAGCGAGTCAACACTTCCATACATCACACTTGTGCTCATGACAACAAGTGCCCTCCTTAATACCCGTCGTCTCTTCCACCCATGTCCCCACCTACCTCTGGGAACCACCAGTGTGATCTCTATTATTTAGAGTCTGTTTGTTGATTTGTTTCTCCTTTTTTTTTTCTCTTTGCTCATTTGTTTTGTTTCTTCAATGCCCCATGTGAGTGAAATCATGTGGTATTTGTCTGTCTTCAACTGACTTCATGTAGCATAATACTTCCTAGCTCCATCCATTTCACTGTAAATAACAAGACTTCATTCTTTTTTATGGCCGAATGATAGTCTATCATATATGTATACCATATCTTCTTTATCCATTCATCAATCAATGGACACGGGCTGCTTCTGTATCTTGGGTCTTGTGAATGATGCTGCTACAAACATAGGGGTGCATCTATCACTTTGAATTAGTGTTTTTGTATCCTTAGGGCAAATACCCGCTAGAGTGATTGCTGGATCATAGGGTAATTCTATTTTTATCTTTCTGAGGAACTTCCATACTCCTTTCCTACTGTGGCTATGCCAGTTTGCATTCCTACCAATGGTGCAAGAGGGTTCCTCTTCCTCCTCATGCTCGCCGAAAACTGTTGTTTCTTCACGTGTTGATTTTAGCCATTCTGACAAGTATGAGGTGATCTGTTATTGCAGTTTTGAATTGCGTTTCCCTGATCATGAGTGATGTTGAGTATCTTTTCGTGTGTCTGTTGGCCATCTCTATGTCTTTGGAGAAATATCTGTTCATTTCTTCTGCCCATTTTTAAATTGAATTATTTGGTTTTTTAAGTGTGAGATTTATAAGTTCTCTATATACTTTGGATACTAACCCTTTATCAGAGATGCTATTTGTAAATATCTTCTCCCATTCTGTAGGTTGCTTTTTGGTTGTGTTGATTGTTTCCTTCACTGTGCCGAAGCCTTTTATTTTGATGTAGTCCCAAAGGTTTGTTTTTGCTTTCCTTCCCTTTCCCTTGGAGACCTATCTCAAAAAAAGGTTTTACAGCCATGTCAAAGAGGTTATTGCCTGTGTTCTCTTCTAGGACTTTTATGGTTTCAGGTCTCACATTTAGGTCTTTCATCCATTTTGTATACGGTATACGTAAGTGATGAGTATTTCTTGCTCATTTATGTGTTACTGTGGGTGTTCCCAGCTGTCGGGCAGCTTTTCTCATAGTGATGAAGATCTAGGCTCTTCTTTCTTGGGATTCTGCCATGTTCCAAATCCTTGAAGTCCTGGCCCCTACTGCTGAAAAGGTTAAGCTGCACTGGCCTCTTCACTGCCTCGACCTGCAAGTGATAAAATCAATTTTCCCTGATAATCCACTAGTGAGAACTGGTCACGTGGCCCAGCTAGATGGCAGGCTTTCCAATAGCAACTCTGTCTTCTGGAAGGAAAAGCCTTTGAGAAACTGCACCAGTTTCTATCCCTGCAAAACAAATATGAATTTTATATGGAAAAGTAACTAATGGGTAAGGGGATAGTTTTTCTCATTGTTAAACGAATTGCATTCCTTTCTCTTCAGCATACATATGTTACTGTTTTCTACTCTTTTTAAGGAGTTGGTTTTCATATTATAATTGATTTTAATTTCACATTATAATTTGGTAATCTCTGAGAACCAATTAATATCTTTATTTTCATGTTCTTCTACATTTAAACACTTTCTACCATACAGATTAAGAACAGTCAATAAGACCAACCTCGTTTTTACTTACTTCATATAAAATATTATAGATCCATGGGAAATTTATATAAAAATGGTTATATTTTTTATGTAGGCTTTTTATTTTATAGGTGAAATAGTGATACTCTGTTCTTAAAAGTTTTCTCTTGTGGGTCTGAGTGTGATTTAATTTAGAAGATTAGAATTATGTATATCACATGTAGTGACGTGCACTTGGAAAGGAGTCTACTTATTATAGACAAAGAGTTGCTGGTAGAACTCTCATAGCATTATCTCTTGTCAATCGTCTTCCAACTTAGAAGATAAATCCATACTCAAAATCTGAATGTTTGGGGTTTTTTTGTTTTTAGTTTGTGGGGTTTGTTTAGATTTTATTTTTAAGTAATCTCTACACCCAACATGGGACTCAAACTCACAACCCCAAGATCAAGAGGCACATGCTCGGACTGAGCCTGCCAAGCACTCCCAAATCTCCATGTTTATTACATGTTAACATCATAAGTGGATATCCAGTGCACATTCAAGCATACTTCTGTTTATTGACCTTGTTACAAATTCAAAAAAAAAAAAAAAAAAAAGATAGTTCAAGGTTACCCTATGTCTAAATTCATTTTGACCGTTTTCTTCTCCTTAGTTATCTCTTTCTGTAATCTCTACTTTTACCTCTCTATCCATCTAGCTATCTGTTCTCTTTCTCTCTTTCTCTCTCTCTTTCTTTCTTCCCTTCCTTCTTAACTTCTTTCTTTCATCTGTCTATCAATGCATCAGTCCATCCGATCAATCATATCTTCTGGCAATACTTTGCACGGTACTGTGGGATTGTTAAAATGACCTTGCAAACTGAAAATGCACAAAGCAATTTTAATAATCAACAGGAAAAATTTTTTTATTAGTGACCTTTACAACTTTTTGCTTAAACATTAAAAACTCTCTTACTTTCAGTCATAAATGTATAGGGAAATGAAAAAAGAAGTAGGAAAACCCTATTCAGTACTTTATAATTTGAAACAGAAATGTTGAGAATTAAAGTGCTTTGGCCCTTTATAAAAACTTGCCAAGAGTGGTTTGAACCATGCTTGCCGCCCTCTCATCGAGTAACTTACAGAATGAAAATCTTCTCAGCCATGGCAAATTGCCATACTTCTAACTTTGGATCACCTCATGACCTGTCCCCCTTTGTGTTTTCAGGTGTTACAAAGTATCAGAGTGTCCTTTTAATGTGAAATTTATCTTTTACAGATGTCACCTCCTTGAGGACAACTCAATCCTTTTCATCATGACTAGGCTCCTCATGTTTGTCGGTAAGTTCTCTTGCACTATGTTTATTGGTTATACATCCAGAGTCTCTCAAATGGTAGTGGGGTCAACGTTGCCATGGTCAACCATGCATGGAAGATTCCAATTTAACTTCCAGTAATAGCGCTTTTCGTTTCTCTGCTCTACTTTCATCTTTGTTGGGTCTTTCCCTCTTGATTATCCATTTTGTAAAATGTTTTGTGGAGTTTTCCCTGGGAAATAAATGAGCAGTGGAATGACATCCTTTTCTGTGTGTACGTGCACAAAATAACAGATGTACGGTGACTAATCCCCACTAGGCTTCGGAGGAAGTGTTACGGTTGGTCGCTGAATAGGGTGTACATCTATTTTTTACATAAAGGTTTGTGAACTGAAGAGCTAGCAGCAAAGTTTACACTTGAAGCAATTACTCACATTTGATAGATTGCAGTAACTGAAATTTGAACCCTGTTGTTGGAGGCTGGTGGTATTTCAGTAAACCATGATGGCTGAAATTTGTGTATATTGGAATTCTGCAGCGAAGGCTTATTTCTGTGTGTGTTTTCCTTTTATGGAAACCTCTCTCTGGTCCTCCGATCATTTCCCCTTCTTGGCTGTTACTACTGCTACATCCCATATAAAATGAACCCTATGAAACCCTTTATTTATTCTGCTACAATGTGTCTCTGACATAAGCTGGGACAGGTTTGAGGACAGTAAGCATCATTATTGAGAGAAATCCATAAAATATTTACTTCTGGTAATTGGATAATGCTCTGAATCAGAGAAGGCTAAAAACACCCTGCACAGTGCAGGGAGAGCCATCCACCCAAGTGAATCTACCTCATCTGCATGCATGGATGTGATCGTATTCCAATTTAAGGGTAAAATTCATTACTTGAGATAGTTTAACTTGAAACTAGTTAATTATTGGATTTGAAAAAGAGCGATGCTGATATTTACAAATAAATTAGATGTGACTCTGGTGTGTGTACAGAGTGAATTACAACAATTTCAAACTATATTTTAATGGGTAAGATTTCTCTTGGGTTATCTATAGTTGAATCTAGATTTGTGGTTTTTAAACTTTAAAACGCATTTGCTTCACTGGAGGTCTGAGATTTTGTAGTTTTAACTACCTCCCAGGAAATGCTAATGTGGATGACCAGACACCGAGTATCAAGAATTTAGAACTACATAGATTCTGCTGTATACGTTTAGGATGTCAACGGCTTTAGCAAATAAACCTGTACCATATTTAAAATTGCTCTGACTCTTTTCCACCTCCCAAGTGGAAAATACGCACTGTTAGGAAGAAACTTTGGACCTTTCCTATCTTTGAAACTTCTGCCTTGTGCCTGCCTTTCCTTTGAGTACCTTCTGAAAGCTTCCTCTTTCTTTACTCCTACATGGTCGTCTTCCATTCATTCGCCCGCTCACCAAATCAGTCTTTAGCTTGGAAGTGAGCTTCAGACAGAGACTTTCTAAATGCACCTCAGGACCTCCTCATAGTCCACTGTGTGGTGTGCTTGTGAGATCTGGTGATGTTGAACTGCCTTCACACAAGTGTTCCCTCCGCTGGTTTCTGGAACATCACGGCTCTTGGTTCTTCTCCCGTTGTTGAGATGCCACCTTCTCTGTCTCCTGCACCAGCTCCTCTATTTGCCCAGCCCCTTCAGTGCCCCTTCAGGGCAAGAGCCCTTCTAACTGCCGAGCTGCTCCCGCCACCGTCTCCTCTTGGCTCTAATGGCCATGGCTATTTGAGAGACTCTCAATTTTTTATCTTTCTCCAAAACTCATAGTTTCACTCCCATACTGACCTTGGGCAAGTTGCCTAACTATCCTGTCCCTCACTTTCTAGCTCAGCGGGTTCTTGTGGGGATTAAACAATTCTACTTGTAAGACACCTGTAAGAGTTCCTGGCATCTGGTATAGGGTGCAAAATGCAAGCTGGTACACGTCTGGTGGAATTTTAAGCAGCAAAGAGAAGCTCTATGCCACATGATGTCTACTTAAGTGCCTTGAATAATGATCACGAGATTCCTCTGAGACTGTTGCCCATTTCTCTAGATGGCAGAGGAGCTGGTTGCTGTAAACAATATCAATTTGAATTCATTTCTCTAGGATGGGACATTCTAGTTTTACCCAAGTGCACATAGTAACGGCTGATGCCATGGGTGCATCCAGCCTCTGGGGTGACAGATTTCCTCCGTGACCTTTCTGATTGTGGCCATCTCTCTTCCATTTGAAGCCATGCAAAGCACAATCGTCCATTTTTACTGAGGACTATGTTGTCCATCAAACATTTGTTCTTAGAGATGAAATCTTTGGAATTACCCACCTTTAGAAAATACCTTAACTAATTTTGAGTTTACCATTCTATTCCTTTATACAAAGAAAAATGTAATACTATCCTAAGACATAGCCTGAAAAATTTCAGCCTGAGAAATGAGCCTGATAACCAATGTATAAACTACGCATTTAGTGCATTTAATTCAACACGTATCCCATTAAATATTTATGAAGCATCATCATTGGAATGTAAGTCTTGCTGGTCTCAAATTTTTCATGAGAAGGAGACGAATATCTGAATAAATAATTATAGTCAGATGTGTTAATTTCCATGGTAAATATTAGTAGAACATGCCATAGGAACCCAAAGGAGATGACAGCCAACCCATCCAGAAAAGTTAGGAGAATTTTCACAAAGAAAGTAGGATGGGATCTATTGGAGAAGTCTCTCAGCAAACGACAGGAGAGAGAACTCTCCAGACTTCGAGAAGAGCATACACAAAGGCCAAAAACCCAACAGGGCCTTGCGGGTTTGGGCAGTGTGATAAATTCTGTAAGTGCAGACTGTATTTTTTGTGGGGGCCAGGTGAAAACAACAGTGGAGGCCTAGCCTGTGGCCCACGCCCTTTATCATCCTGTCTATAGGTTTGTTCCTCCCATGGACAGCCTTCTGGGAAGCTGTGTGAACCCTTGAGCCTAGGGTTCAGCGCCATGCTGCCCATCTGCCCTTGAGACCAGCCTACTTACCCTGGCCTTGGAAGAGGGTATAGGGCCCTTGAAGCAGGGAATTCCACAGTTACAGGTCTGGAAGGATGAAGGCATAGCCCCAAGAGAGGAACATTGCTTTGCTCCAAGGGAAGAAACTAGAGCAGGGCTTTCTACAGTTCTGCCTGGGCCAGAGGATGGATGGAGCCCAAGTTCCTTATGACTCATAAGTAGGTTGCTTGGAGGTGGTTAGATATGGAAGATGAAGCTGGACTTGTGGATTAGAAGCAGATTGTGATTCGTTTTGATTAGAAAAAAAGCCATAATGGTCATTGTCTCCGACTATAACTAGTGTAATCTAATTTTACTGTCTAGGATCAAAAAGTTGAACCCGAAGAATTACACTGCTTGGTTTATAATGTGGTTGTGAATGAATTATTGATTAGTAGTGTTACTCATTTTGAAAGAATTAGAATGCCAAGAACTATACTGAAGCTAAAGGTTGTGTTAGACAGAATTAAATGTCTTCTCTCCAAATTTGTTTGTTGCTAGCACTTCTAATCTTGTAGTGATTCAAAACATATAAGCAGAGCCTATTACATGCTGGTGATCTCAACGAATTAAAGAAGGATGCCTTGTAATTTTGCTGTGTTTATCCTTTATTATTCCTCCTATGTACTGATCTAGTCTATATATGTGAGGTAAAAGTGCTTATATTTCCTAAATCCTAAACTTCATACCCATGAGTGAGGTCTAGCACATACCTACCTAACACTGTTCATCAAGTTAGAAAGTTGGAGGTAAAGAGCTATATCCCATAGAATAATCACATTTCAAGAGTTTTTCTTTTCTTTTTAAATGTTCATTTATTTTTAGAGAGCAGACAAGTGCAGGGGTGAGGGACGGGCAGAGAGAGATAGGGGCAGAGAGAGTTCCCAGCAGGCTCCACGCTGTCAGCTCAGAGCCTGACCTGAGCCAAAGTCAAGACCAGATGCTTAACTGACTGAGCCACCCAGGCTTCCCTCAAGAGTTTTCCTTTTAAATAAGTCAGTCAGAGAAAGAAAAATACCATATGATTTCACTCATATGTGGAATTTAAGGAACAAAACAAATGAACAATGAAGAAAAAAAAAAGGACACAAACCAAAAAAGAAACTCTTAACTATACAGAATATGCTGATGGTCACCATAAGGGAGATGGGGTGGGAGTGGGGGGGATGGAGGAAATAGGTGACAGGGATTTAGAAGTGTACTTGTGATGAGCGCTGGTGATGTAGGGCTGTGTTGAACCACTGTGTGACATACCTGAAACTAATATAGCACTGTATGTTAACTGTACCGGAATTGAAAGTCCCAAAACGTGTTTTTTAATTTTGCTCACCAGTTGCAGTGTTTCTCAGAGTAATTCTGATTTATATCTCAAACTACTTTTCATCGTAGAGCATGACTCAAATTTACAATAAGTCTACTGTGTTTTTTAAGAGATCCTGTGGCTGCTTAATGACACCATCGGGAAATAAAGTGGAAAAAAAAAGTTAAAGAGAAGTGGGTCAAGCAGGAGGCGGAAGAAAAATGAAAGAACAAAAAGGGATAAGAAGTTCTGTGCACTGGGGAGTGTTGGGTGAGAAGGAGGTAATGCTCAAGTTGGCCCTGAGTGCCAATCACCGTTTGTGTTTCCCTCTAATGCGTTTTACAGATGGGCAGAATATGCAGGCCAGGACACACAGGGCTTTTTCTATAAAGCCTCAACTTCCTGGAGACAGTGGGCATTAATAAGTTAAAATTTAGTGACATATTGGGGGCGCCTGGGTGGCTCAGCCGGTTAAGTGTCCAACTTTGGCTCAGGTCGTGATCTTGCGGTTTGTGGGTTCAAGCCCCGCATCAGGTTCTGTGCTGGCAGCTCAGAGCCTGGAGCCTGCTTCAAATCCTGTGAAATACCCTCTCTCTCTGTCCCTCCCCTGCTCTCTCTGCCCCTTCCCCGCTCATGCTCTGTCTCTCTCTGCCTCAAAAATAAACTATGAAAAATGTT